TGCAATAATCGCCTCTTTGTCAGTTTCATCCTGAGGTGATTTAAGATTTGTGTGTGTGTTTATCTCAAAAACAGTGCCCTTAAGAATTCTCAGGTGCCTCCCTAGCCATATCGTAAGCCGGGAGGCTCTGGATGCCAGTATGGCCTCTCATATGCTCAATAAGACCAGACAGGCTGTGAGGTCCTTGTCAGGGGAAAAAGTGTCTCTTTTTCCCTATTGAGGTATGAAATATTTGCAGTCAAGTCGGTAAAATGCAGTAATCTTTTTTTAATCTTCACCCAAGGATATGTTTCCATTGAGTTTCAGAGAAAGAGAGAGAGAGAGAGAGAGAGGGAGAGAGAGACAACATCAATGTGAAAGAGAAACATAGACTGGTTGCCTCTCGCTTGTGCCCAAACCAAGAATTGAACTCGCAACCTTGATCAGGTACGTGACCTGAACAAGCAACCTTTCAGTGCACAGAACACCACTCCAACCATCTGAGCCACACAGCCAGGGCAAGCGCACTAACCTTAAGAGTACAGCTCAGTGTAGGCGCGTATGTACAGTTCAGACTGTATAGCACCCAGATCAAGATTCAGCCTGTTTCCAGATTTCTTCCACCCCTTCCCAGTCAATGCTCACTTCACCCCCTGAGATAGCTACAGTTTTGATATCTAAGACATGTCTTTAATGTCTTTTCATGCCACGTAGAATGCATGATAAATATACATTTTTAAGTAAACCATGTTACGCCTTGGGCCCCGTGTGAGTGGCAGAGCGCTACACCCAGCTGGCTGCCTGAGGCTGGCTCTTGGTTATGAACGGGTTAATCAAGTAAGCCGGGGTTAGATTTCAGTAGCTTTTCTGAGCAGGATTTAAAGGCAGAGGAAACCAAGTGAAGGGCAGTGCTGTTCTGTATGTCAGTCTGCCCGCTGAGCCAAGGAGACCCATTTATTTTTAATTGAATTAAATTGCTCACAAAATGAAAGTAGCATACTTTCATTAATATTTAATTACATACAGTGTTAAACAATGATCACAAAGAAAACTTTGCAGCTTTTTTTTCGGTCTCTGCTTTTTTTTATTACTTTGTTAAACATGATACTCTTATTAGCTGCTTTATGCTTGGAATGTTAAGGGCCCTGCTCTTAAACCACTCAAGAAGTTCCTAATTGGCAGGACCCAGCGGAGGGAGGCAGTAGGTTGGCTGTGACACTGGTCACCAGCAAATGTCCGTGTGCCCATGTGTGTGTGTGCGTGTGTGATAACACACGTATGCTCTAGTCTCGGTCCCTTAGGCGATCAGGGCTCCAGCAAGGAGCCAAAAGTCCAAATTCTGGATATGTCGAGGTCAGCCAACCACGCCTACTCCTCCAAAAATTCCGTATATACTAGAAAAGACATTAGTTTTTGCAAGAGGTCATCCCAAAGGAAAAAGAGTTTGACACTGCATGATGGTTTATTTCGGTATTTTGTCAGATGTTCTCACATCAGAAAGCAGTGATTCACAAACTCTCAAGCACCTGACGAGCCCCTGAGGTGCTTCCTGGAAATGCAGAGTCCCTGGTGTCAGGGCCAGAAATTTCAGTGCAGCAGAAGCCAGGGAATCTGCATTTTCCACAGGCGTCCAGGCCGTGTTGATTGCGCAGCAGGCGGCTGGAAGGCCACCCGGTGAGAAACGTCCTCACGAAGGCACGGAACAGAGCCAGAGAGATCGTTGGGTCTTGCAGCGGTGGCACAGTGTTTTAAAGCGAGCTTTATGTAGAACCCCGGTTGATAAAACAATCGAAAGGATCGTTGCTGTGACCAAATGATGATGGGATGCCTGGATTTCCTTTTCCTTTGTCTCCCCTGACCTTTTCCTGGGGTTTGGAGCCATGAAGCTCTTGCACTCAGAGGTGCAGCTTGATAAAGCCCTGAATTCATCTTAGTAAATGAATACTAGAGGTTTTGACCTGTTAGGTAAATTCATCGTGAATAGCAGAAATTATCTAAGATATGTCCAAAGATAAAATGGCTCCCCACAGAAGCAGTTAAAATGCTCTGTCATTAGAGGAGTCTAAGCTCCTTGGCTGTCACTTGACAGGGATATTCATTTGCTCATTCATTCATTCATTCATTCAACAAAAAGTGACTGAATGACCACTCTGTAGTGGACCCTTAGTATCAGCCCTGGGGATACACAGTGGACAGGACAGACCAGGTCACGGCGGCTCTCATGGAGCTCGAGCTGCAGGGGTGGACGGATGGAGGGCGAGGAAGCAAACACGTAAGTGCTGTGGGCGACATAAATGGGGGCATGTGTGAGTTGGGAGAGGTCTCCCAGGGGAGGGGATATTTGAGCTGAGACTTCAATGTTAAGAGTTCTGCCTGGGAAGAACAGAAGGAAATGCATTTTTGTGCAGGTGTCCCAAAACTCTGAGGTAGGAATTTAAAAAAAAGAGAGAGAGAGGAGAGAGTACAGCTGCAGCGTCACAAGCAATGGCGTGAGATGTGGGCAGAGTCTGGCAGTGGCTGGAGGGTTACCTGACGCACAGGCCACTCTAATTGGGTATGTTATGAACCAGTGACCGTGGCCAGTTGTATTTTCCAAAGATAACTGAACAGTATCGCCCACCCCCACTCTTCTGCAATGTGACTGCCTCGTCCTCACGAAAAGGTAGAGCTTATCTCTCCACCCTGTTGAATCGGGATAGAACCTGTGATGGTTTTGACCCATAGGACACCACAGAAGTGATGCTATGCCAGCTCTGACTGGTCTGGAGCTTCTGTCTCCTACTTCTTGGGACATCACCCTTAGGACAATCCCTCTGCAAACCCAGCCGCCAGGCCGTGAGCAGCCCAGGCCGCTGGAAGAAACCACATGTAGGTGCTCTGACTCCCAGTCATCCGTCAGCATCAAATGCCAGCCAGGCGGGCGAGCCATTTGGGGCATCTAGCTCTGCCATTGAGCCGTCAGGCGGCTGCGGCCCAGCTGACACCTGGCTATAAGTTCAGGAAAAAACGGTGAGAACCACCAAACAGAACTCAGTCGACCCTCAAAACCAAGAAAGAATAACATTGTTGTTTCAAGCCAGCCTACTTCAGGGAGGATGGTTGCTCAGGAAGAGAGATCCAGTCCAATAACGGATGAGCAGTGAGGTGTCCTGGTCGTGTGAGCCTGGAATGCGAGCCCACTGGTCTTTTCCCCTCTGTGGTGTCGCCGTGGACCTTTTATTGGGGAAGCTCTGAACCAATGAGAAGCTAAGAAGCACTTGTAAGACAGCTCGCTTTCAAGATCTAAGTTGTTTTAATTCCTTGCCCCAAGAATGTTAGTAATTTTAGTATTTTAAAATGGTTCTCTTCTTCGATGACACGCCCCTCTTACTCTAGAAGCTTGAGCATCACAGAGCAAATGAGAGCGCGACTTCAGGAAACTCTCCCAAAGAGAATTTTTCTCGGGTGCAGAAGAAGAGAGCGTTTTGGTGAGCTGCACACCCCAGGATTTATTAGAAAGGCTCTGGGCATTGGATTTAGAAAGAGAAAGGGTTGATTCTCTATGTTCTGATTGTAAAAATTGGGTTGAATAACTTGAACTTTCTGAGTCCATTTCCTCATCTATAATGTCGAATTATAGGGAGGATAATACCACATAACAGTGGAGCGGGGACTCGATGAGATTTTCACCAAGGTGCCTGGTGTAAAATAGGCGCTCAGAGAAAGTTAGTGTTTCCATCCCACTCTCTTCCACCCATGTCTGACTTTCTCTCTTCCATTTCCTTTCCCTCTGTTCCTTCCTGGAGGATGCAGAGGGTTAGAGCACAGGGGAGAAAAGAGGCTGAGAATGGGAAAGCTGCACGCAGGGCCGGGGGCTGGCACATGATGCTTGGCTTCTTTGTGGAGGTCAGAAGGAGGGCAGAGGTCCCCCCCGAAAGTCCTTGGAGGCCTGTGTTTCTCTCTTTGCTGGGTGATTCATGGTTTTCAGGCTATTTCAGGTCACTGTTAATTGGCCTTTTAATTTACAAAGCACTTCCACATATCTTATTGCATTTGATCTTTCCAATAACCACAGGGCAATTATTACTTTCCTGATTTTACAGATGAGCCAAGTAGAGCTCACCATGGTTAAGAAATGAGCCTCCGAACTGAGAACAAGAGGCAAAGTCTGAACTTGAACCCAGATGATCTGGCTCCTCTGTTAGCGCAGTTCTACTGTCTAGTAGTTCTCACCCCCTCTCCTGAAAATAATTGTCAAATTGGTAACACAGTTAATTGTTCACTCAAGAGATGTCTATTATATGAACTTTGTAAAGGCACTTCTGGGGATAGAGAAATAAATAAAAATCATATCCCCTGCTTCTGCCTTTCAGGAGACGGCGGGAGAAAAGAGCTTTCCGACCAGCCCTTTGTATCTTTCCAGCTCTCTCCTTTTCGTGAAGGCAGCCCCACTTTTCGAAACTTTGCACTATGCCACTTAGCTTTGACCAAAACCTTTCGTACCTGTTTTTGCTAACTGAAAGAAATATGAGGAGAATTTTCACTTTTACCAAAAGGAAGGTGAAAATAGTGGTTGGCATTTGTTTTGCAGGGAGCTGTGACACAGGCACTTGCACCCCAGGCACTGAGAGTGACCCCCCTCCCAGGGTGGGGACTAACTGCACGCAGCCTCCCAGCACAAAGCCCCCACAACTGTGAACTGTGGCTGTGAGCGCCTGTGCTTTATCTCCATTTATCTTGTGCACACGGTAGCAAGGCGTGTCTCAAGGTCTCAGGAAAGCCTAAGAGAGCTAATAAAACTGGATATAATTAAGCATTTACCGTGGTGAACAAAATAGAGACATATAAATGAATGGCAATTGCTTCTTTGGTTAACGTCATTTTGGCTAACTACAGGTTTCCTAGGAACCTGTCCCTTTGGGTCAGGGAGGGGCACCCGCACTCTGACACCAGCAATTCCAGTAACCCCAGCAAGTACACCCCTTGATTCTACTACCATTTTACTGTGGCTGACGTGTATGCTTGTTTCTCTTCTTCCCCAGTTGAGGTTCGAAGGACCATCCTCCCAGTAACTCCCGTATACCACACTCCCACTCCCTTGCCCCGGCTCTCCTCATTGGACCTGTCTGGCAAAACCCCCACCCTGACTGGATTAAGCTCCCGACCTATAAGGCACCGGCACCTTGCTAGCTGACTGTCTGGAGACCCTGACCATGATGGTGAGTGGTCTTGATTTAAATTCAGGACGACTAACTTCAACTTGGCTCTCAGTGTTGGCTGCCAATTCTACTGTAATCCCCTAGTCCATTCACTTTCCTTCTCACCTGAACAACTATCTCACACCCTCTCCCTTTTCCTCAATATTCAACATCTCCCCTCCCACCTGTGTTCAGGAGGGAAATTCCGTAACCTTTACAGCCACGCCCACCTGCCTGCGTACTGTGCTGCTCCTTCACTGCGCAGGTTCCCAGGTAAGGAAAACCCCTTCGCTGTTGCTGCTTCACACGGGGAGCAGCCTTGAGTCTTGCTGCTCAAGGACACCACCCCAGCGATTCTCCCTCATCACCCATTCTTCCTTTGTGATGTGTCACTCCCATCAGCAGAGTCACTGCTGTTTTTTCCATCTTAAAAAAACTCTCCTTGACCTCTTCCACCTGTTAGCTTTTGCTTTTTTTAAAAAAAAAATTATTTTTCGATTACAGTTGACATGCAATATTACTTTATATTAGCTTCAGGTATACAGTGTCATGGTTAGACATGTATGTAATTTACTAAGTGATCCCCTCCGATAAGTGGTACCACCTGGCACCATACATAATTTTAATAATATAATTGACTGTATTCCCTTTTCTGTACATTGCATCCCCGTGACTATTTTGTGACTACAAATCTGTACCTCTTACTCCCTTCACCTTTTTCACCCAGTCCCCCACACCCTCCCTAAATTTGGTAACTATCAGATTGTTCTCTGTATCTACCAGGTTGTTTCTGTTTTGTTTATTTTGTTCATAAAACTCTACACACAAGTGAAATCACATAGTATTTATTATTCTCTGTTTGACTCATTTCACTTAGCATAACACCCTCTAGACCCACCCGTGTTGCTGCAAGCAGTAAGATTTTATTCTTTCTTAGGGCCAAATAACACTGAGCAATACTTCATTGTGTATATGTATCACATCTTCTTTACATGCTTATCTGTCGATGAGTACTTGGGCTGCTCCCATATTTTGGCTCTTGTCAATAACACTGCAATGAACACAGAGGTGTATATGCCTTTCAAATCAGTATTTTTTATCTCTTGCTTTATTTTTCTATCCTCTTTCACAGCAAAACTCAAAAAGCTGGTGATATTCAATGTCCCAATTACTCTTCAATCATGACTGCGCCCAGTTTGCTTGTCTCCCCACCAAACCGCCGACACTGCTCTCAGCAAGGTTCCTCCTCACATTCCTGCTTCTAAATTCCACCGCCACGTCTCAGTCCACATCTTCTTTGGCCCTAAGACGCCTTTTGCAGTGTAGGTGACTTCCTCCTCCTTGGGCATCTCCTTCATTAATTAACTTCTCAGGTTAACGTGCAGTTTTGTATTTTCTCCAACTTGCTGGCCACTCCTCATTTTTCCTCTCTGGTTCCTGTTCATCACCTTGACCTCCAAACATCGGAGAACACCAGGGCTCCATCTGTGGACCTCTGCTCTCCTTTCTCCATGTTCACGGCCCTAGTGATCCCTTCTAACCTCTTCCACTAAGCTGATGCCTCCCTGTTATGGGCTGCACTGTGCCCTCCCAAAACTCACCTGTTGAAACCTTAAGCCCGAGTACCTCAGAATGTGACTGTATTTGGGGTACTGTGGGTAGGTACTACTGCCTTGAAAGGTGTTATTATGGTTAAATGAGGCTGTTAGGGTGGGCCCTAACCATTGTGACAGGTGTCCTTATAAGAAGTAATTTTGACGTAGAAAGAGACACCAGAGATGAGTGCACTTACAGAAGCAGCCACGCGAGGACGCAGTGAGAAGGCAAGGAGAGAGCCTCGGGAGAAACCAAAGTGCTGGCAGGACTTCAAGCCTCCAGAACTGCAGGAAAGTAAGTGTTTGTTGTTTTAGTCCCCTAATTTGTAGCATTTCATGACGGCAGCCTAAGCCAGCTTTCCTGCCCAGGAGTCTCCCTAGACCCCACCGCCTACCTGACATTTTCACTTGGACGTCTAATGGGCGTCTCAGGCTTCACGTGACCTTCCCGCCAAAGCTGTCTCTCCAGCAGTCTTCTCCATCTCAGTACATGACAACTCCAAGCATGCAGCCTAGGCCCAAATCCTCGGACTCTCCTCCGACTTGCTCTCTCTCTTCCTCCTTTCATTATTCCGTATTGAATTCACAAGCAAATATTTGCAGCTCTGCCTTTCAGTTATATTCAAAGTACACTATTGGATACCACCAGCATGCCACCACCTTGATCTAAACTCCGTCATCTGTTACCTAGGAAGGTCCAGTGGCATCCAGTCCATTCTTCCTTGTTCTGTCCTCACCTCCTTCCAAGTCTATTTATAGTGCTGCAGCCAGAATGCTCCTATGAAAACATATTGGGTCACATCACTCCTTTGCTCAAAACCCTGTAAGAGTTTCCAGTTCACTCAGAGCGAAACCAGATGCCTCACCAATGCCTCACCTCTCTGACCTCATTTCCTTCTCCTTTCCTTCTCCCACCCCTTGGCTGCAGCCCAGCTGGCCTCCAACTTTCCTTCAGACACATCCCAACACTTGTACCTCAGGGCCTTTGTTCTCACTACTTCCTGGCCAGGAGTGCTCTCCCCCCCTCAGATACCTTTATCTCCAAGGGACCCACCTGTCGGGATGAGTCTTCACAGGATAGCCATTTGCACTGAATACTGAATTACAGAGTGCTAGCTAAACTGTTTTAAGAACCTGCAATAGTTGCTCCCAGTTTATCTGCATAAAAAGTGAGTAGGGACTCTGGGGGCTGAGAGTGAGCAGGCTGGGGAGAAGACAGGGGGATCGATGGGCCTCAGAAACATGGTGGGGTGTGGAGAGGTTACTGACTATTCCCTGGTGACACAAAGGAATACGTAACTCTTAAAACAGAGAAGTTGAATATTTAGTTTTGCTACCTGCTCAGAGGGCAGTCACCTGGGCTCCTTTTTATTACTATTAAAATCTTTAGTGAGGTTTGTTCTCTATGGTTTGTGAAGAGAGAGGTGCTTGGAGTAAGGTAAAGCAAAGGGGTGACACCCCATTTCGGAGCCCAGCTGGGGTACACAGTGTGAGTAGCCTCAAAGCGGGGCAATGAGGGAGATTGAAAATTCATTAGAAGCAGCAAATAGTAACCGGAATGACTAGCTGAAATGGAAGGTCCCCAGAAAACTCTGGAAACATGGGGAGGGACCCTGAGTTTTCTCCTAAATGGAGGAAGGGGGTTTAAGCCAAGCTTAAAGGACCACGTAATCCCATTAAGCTGAGAGCTTGGGATCAGACAGGTAGCTGATAATATCGTCTCCCAAAGAACAGGAAAGTACAATTTGGCAAAACAGTCAGATATGGGTAGGGGAATAAAAAGAGAATAATTCAAAGATATCCAAGTTTTGCCCTGGCTGGTATGGCTCAGTTGGTTGGAGTATTATCCTGTAAAAGTTGCTATTCAACTCCCGGTCAGGGCACATACCTAGGTTGTGGGTTCATCTGGGTGTGTATGACCTTTCCTCGGGGCACATATGGGAAGCAACAAATTGATGCTTCTCTCTGGCATTGATGTTTCTCTCTCTCCCTTCCTCTCTGTCTAGAAGCAATGAAAAAAAAATGCTCTCGAGTGAGGATGTAAAAAAAAAAGATACCAAAGTTTCCTCTACAGGAGCGAATGACAACAGTAGGGCCACTGATGATGACAGTAAGAGGATGCTTTGGAGCTAATCACGTGAGCGATGATGACAGGATATTTTAGAGGAGACATCTTAGAGGACTTCGAAACGCCAAGCTCAAAGCTAAGGAAGATTTGGGGATATAAAACAGGAGCATTAAGTTCGAGGTGATAATGCAAGCCATGCAATGGAAGGCTTCAGAAAGGCTGATGTGTGATCTTCAAAACTGAGAGGTGACAGAGAGCCAAAGATAGTTGCAGAGAAAGAGGAAGCAGGGAACTAGGAGGTGAGCCAAGAAGACGATACAATGGGAGCCCAGGAAGAAGCCTCGTTCAATAAGTTATTGATCAACAGTATCAAGTGGAGCAGAGATATGATAGAGGAAATAGATAAGAGGAAGCCTTCCGGATTCGTAGCACCATGTGTACAAAATATTTTACTTTTGTATATAGACTGTCAGGATGGAAACATCATTGATCCTAATCAAACAATAATCGTGTTGTGACAAACGCAGGGGCCACAGAAAATGTTTGCGTTCTTAAAGCTATTCCTAAAGGGTTTACAATCTGAAGGGCGAGGCGAAGATTTGACCGGTACAAACTCATACACAGACTGAACAATGATGATGGTATTAGCTCAGTTTGAGATATTTCCAAGTTTTGGCTTATGAGCCACTAAAAGAATATATGACGAAAATAAATTTTAATTTAACCAAGAAGTTTGAACTATTCCTTAAAGTTCAACATAGAAAAAGACCCTCAAATACAACACCGAAGACACATATTTACAGAAGCAGTAGTATTCACCCCCTCCTGCCCCCAAATCTCACATTTAAAAACCTAGTAGGAAATCAGCAATTTGTGTATCTGATGCTGGCGCTTCAAATAAAAATAACCCTTTTTCTGATGACTCGACATTCTTATTCTTCAATGTTCTTCACCCAGACTCTCACTGGGGCCTTCTTCCTGACCCCTGCCAGGATTTCTAGGTTTTCTCTACTTTCTCTCTCCTTTTTCTCTGTTCTCTTCTTCATCCCCCAAGTCCTGTTCACTTCCTTGTTGCTTGCACACAGAATGCCAGCAGTTTCTCTGCTTGACAAGCCTTCATCTTTGACCCGTGGGACTTCGGGAAGGGACGTGAGCATTAACAGATGGGAAGGCTTTCTTTCATTATCCGGAAGTCAGGTAAGCAGTTGCATAGAACTTATTGAAGCAAGAGACCAAAAATTAAGCACAAATTCCGCCTATATTTTCTATTTTTATAATGCTACCCAGGCCTTGTCTACAGATGGGCTCATTGGCAATGTGTGGTGGTGGCCTTGACCGCCAGCCTAGTGGGCCTTCAACTCCAGAGAGCGCAATTGGCCAAGGCCTCCAGCCGCCGTGCCCTGCAATCTGTGGCCACATTCGCACCGAGGCTGTGCTTCCTATAGGCTTCTCCCAGCCAGCGACTGAGTGTGGCAGGGAAACTAAGGCAGATTGGACCCTGGGAGACATGGGTTCCTCTGATGGCCGACTTTGGCTGAAGGACTCTCCGAGGTCTCACTGACCCTTCCTGAGACTGCGGGGCAGCTCAGGGTGTTTCTACACAAGCTACCCTCATTCTCGTCTTCCCTTGGGGTCAGACTTGCATGGGCGCCTGGCAGTTCTCCCAGCTTTCCCTGGTTCCCTCACCATTTCTTACTACAGGTCTTTCCCCTAATAAAATGCTTGCACCTGTAATCCTGTCTTGGTGTCTGACTTGGCCTAATACACACACCTAGTAGAAGAGCAAGGCTCACAGTGCCATGGGCCCTCAACCTTGGGATTCTTGATAGTATTTGGTTCTGCTCCCACAACCTGTATTGAAATAATTGACTGAAAGTGATCTTATTTGTAAAGGGGACAATGAAGAGTCGACAATATTTTTATTGAGACTTGTGATCAGAAAGTCAAGTGTTTTAAGACCTTGGCTGAAACTGTATACTTAACTACACTCACTTAGCAATGTATTTCTCCCTCCTCCTCACATTTCACATAAGATATTTCTTATATCTTTATATCTTATAGATATAAGGCAGCCTCTTAAGATTTCTTATATCTTATATCTTATATTTCTTATTGAGTGAATGGACTTTGGTTGGATAGGGTCTGATTCTCTGATTTCTAACAGATTTATTCAACATTGCTTGCATATTTGAGGGAAAAAGATTGACTCAGTATTACTAAGAAAAGTCCTGACTCAGGGAACAGAAAGTTAGGAATATTTGATTTTCTACAAATGATCTGTAAAACTGAGATAAAATTTTTCACTTATCAGATTGGCAAATATTTAAAAGATTGATTTCATCAGTGTTGGTGAGGGGATAAGGAAATAAGCAACTTCTTTATACTTGCTAAGATTATAAACAAATAAAAAAGTCTTTCATAAGGTTAATTTTCAGGTACTATCAGCACTAAGGATGACCTAGGAATTCCTTGGCCTAGGAATCCCATTTTAGAATCTTTCTTACAGAAATGTTTGTATGGAAATAAAAAATCTGTATATGAGGCTGTTCACTGCAGCAAATCATAGGGTTGTTTGCAATAACAGCACAGGAAGCAATCTGAATAGCCAGCAAGATGAAGTTGGTTAAGTAAATTATAGTACATTCATACAATGGAATATTATGCAGCTGTTAACAGGGCTGCCACTTGTCCAGAAGGACCTTGGTATAAATTAGGAAAAGACAGCCCCTCCTCTGGGTGAACAGAACCGAATGCCAGGAAGCACAATTTGGTAAATGGCACGTGGGCTAGATTTTACCTCCCATCACCCACTCTGTCACGTGCTCCTTTGCACTGTACACTCTAACAATACTGAACAACCCTGACTGCTAAAAATAATGAAATAATATTTTATATAACGACCTGGAAGTTTGTCCTTTGATACTGTTAACCTCGTCCCCTATAAGAAAAGAAAAAAATAAGTAAAAGAAGAGAAAAAGCCTGGAGAGTATATATTATTTACTTCTGCATAATGAATTTCCCTAAAACTTAGTGCCTTAGGAAACAAATACGAATTATCTCACAGTTTCTGTGGGTCAAGATTCCTGGCACAGCCTGACCGGGGCCTCTGGCCTGGGGCATCTCAAGAGGATGCAGTCCAGGTGTTGGCTGGGGTTACAGTGATCCCAAGGCTCACCAGCAAGGGATCAGCTCCCCAGCTTGTGCATGTGGTTGTTGCCAGGGT